TCTATAGAGCCCTGGCTGGCCTGGAACCCACTATGTAGAACAAGCTGACCTTGAACTCACAGAGTTCATACTGCCTCTGCTTTCAGAATGCTGGGATTAAGACAGGCATCACCACACCCAGCACATTCATAGTGCGGTAACCATCGCCACCACAATCCTCTTTGGTTTTTATTTTTACTTTAAAATAATAATGGTTATCATCATCTGTTATTGTTTATTATTAGTACTGTAGTGCTGGACTGCAGCCCAGGCTTTACCTGTTTCCCAAGGCCAGGCAAAATGCACCAAGGCATGGTGAGATGCCCAGCAAGGTACAAGGGGAATGGGACAGCCGGGTACACTGAAAGGTGCAAGAAGGGGCGTGGCAAGGCCTGGGAGGATGCTCTAGGCAAAGTGCTATGTGTTTCAATGGGTGGTTCTGGGAAGGGAGACAGCACAGGGTCTGTTTGTATCCTGGGGGAAGGCCCACTGAGCATGTCCCTTTCCAGGCACCACTCCAGGGCACCTGTATGTGCGAAGGAGCCCAGTTTTTTATCTGGTTAGTTTTCTATTGATTTGCTTGGGCCCTGGCAGTTGGCATAAAGCAGATCTTGGGGACAAAGAACTATGTATGGAAGGTGATTACTGAGCTGTGAGCTGTGGGAGAACAGGCAGGTGAGGAGGTCAAAGTGTGCCCTTGTTTTTAGGAGAAGCCCCACAAAGCTTGAAGACATCCTTAAGAGTAGTGCAGATCCTCCAAGGCAGGGCCCTACCTTCAGCACGCTCTGCTGGAAGGCACATACTCTCCTGCCTGCTTCCATCCAGGGATGTCCTCTCTGACCACTGGGCTGGATCTCTGGTTCTATGGTTAATTCCCTTCATGTCTCTTTCTTTGCTGATTTGGGCTTTTTTGATTTGTTTGTTTTGTTGAGACAGATTTTCTCTGTGTAGCCTTGGAGCCTATCCTGGCACGTGCTCTGTAGACCAGGCTGGCCACAAACTCACAGAGATCCGCCTGCCTCTGCCTCCTGAGTGCTGGGATTAAAGATGTGCATCACCAACGCCCGGCTGATTTGGGCTTTTTTGAGATGGGGTCTTGCATTGTGTTGCATACTGTCCTCAAACTCTCCATCTTCCTGTCTCAGACTCCTGCGTGCTGGGATTTTATAGGTATGAGTTACAAGGCCTGGTTTTCCAGGCCTCCTTTCTTTTCTGTGCTCATTTTGCTGATGATGTGTAGTGTGCATTTTGTATTTGTGTGCTCTGTAGTACGTGTTTTGTGTTTGTGTGTACAGGAGTAGCCCTTTTGATGCCTCAGGTTAAGAGCACTGGCTGCTCTTTCAGAGGGACTTTGATTCTCAGCAACCAAAGGCAGGCAGCTCACAGCCATCTGTAACTCTAGGTCCATGGGATTAAATGCCCTCTTCTGGCCTTTGTGGGTACTACACACACACACACACACACACACACACACACACACACACACACCAGTACACATGGAACTTAAAAACAATAAGACCAAAATAAAACAAAGAAAAACCTACAACAGCAGTAATAAAAGAGTAGCTCTCCTCTCATACCTTCACCTCCTCACTGTCAAGGCTGTATTTTATAGACTGGCAGACATGCATGTTGCATGTCCAAATTCAGGAGGGGTGCCACTGTCCCCTCGAGCACCTCATTGATGAGGCAATTCTTTATTTTAAAAGACAAATCATGAAATTAAGAGCTGATTATTCACCCACCAAACACTTCTTCACTCAAACTGGAGGATACCTTTAAATAGCAGCTTCCCTTTGCTGCATTTTTCTAGGTAGCTCATCAGCTATGGGGCAGAGATCTCCATGGATGCTGAGAGTCAGCACCTGGGGCTGAAGAACAGAATTAGGTGCAGAGAAAGTGTTTGGGGACCCATGGCGCTTATTCCAAGAAATGCCTCAAGAATGCATTTATTAAATTAAAAAAAATACTTAATAGATTTATATGCCATCTCTCTGTCTATCATCAGTCAGTCAACCAATCTAAATTATTATAGCCTCACTGTGTAGCTCAGGCTGGCTTCTGCCTACCTGTATTATCTATTAACCAATCAATTATCTGTTGTGACGGGATTTCACTGTGTAGCTCAGGCTGGCCTTGATGATATAGGAACCATAGATGCCCAGCTAGGAACACTACTTGGGAGCCACCTGTATGGCTCTCAGGGCAGAGTGGCCAGCAATCCTATCTCTACGGACCTTTCCCACTGTCTACAGGACATCGGACTCATGCCTGAGCCGGCACCTCTATCCATACTCCATCTTTGCTGTAATGTGCTTGCTTCCTCTCTCATGGTTTGGGGACATCCAAGTTTCTCATGGGATGTAGCAACAGGGTTTTGGATTTTGGGGAATACATGCTCATTTGCAGATCATACTGTGCTTTTTGGTCCTGGAATTTAAGTAGTAGCTCAATCTCCAATCCACTTAATTAGATGTGCAGCATCTCACTTTGTCTAAGTACACTCCGGGAGGTGTAGTTTGCCCCACCTCCCATTGAAGATAACTCTTGGCTGAAATTCTCTGTGCATTGTAGATTGCCTAGTAACATCCTTGGCCTCTGTCTGCTGGTGAACTGTTATCCCTTAATGTGACATTGCCAGATGTACCATGGGGGCAATACCCACTCTCCCTACTTCCACTTCTTCAGTTTTCAGCCATCATTTGATTTTTGCCTTAGGGGCCTTCACTGGCCTTCTTCAGTGTCCACCAATGAAGGACATGGAGCTCCTGTCTCAAGGTTTTTGTGTCTTGAAGGATGAATCATCAAATTTTGAGCCAAGTGATTTTGGTACAGAATGGGCTGGGATAACTGAATTATTGAAGGGCTGAGGCTAGGATATATATCTAGCCATTCTTTGTTGACCATGCTTCCTTTTGACTTTGTAAATTTCACTGGCTGGCTTCCCTGGCTTGCTCAGCTAGCTTTTTTTCTACAGTCCAGGCACCCCTGCCTGTGGAGAGGTAGCTTTTCAAGGCAGAAACACATGAGAATCAAAACTCCATTCCTGGCTAGACAGCAAGAGAAAGAAGGGCCTGTGTCCCACTGTCCCCTCAAGGACATGCCCTCAGTGGCCTGACTTCCTCCCAGTAGACCCCACCTCTGAGCCATTCCACCATCTCCCAATAGCCTACAGACTGAGGAACAAGTCTTTACCACATGGGCTGCTGGGGAACATTTAAGATGGAGACCATTACATGGTGTTTCAAGACTAGCAGGCTGACGGACAGAGCGGATTCTCCTAGATTCTGTGACCCAGCAAACCCTTTCAGAATGGCCACCTCTGGACAGGAAGATTGTAAGAGCCAGTGGTCAGATCGAACCAGAGTGAGACATGGCGGGACTCCTGTACTCATGAGCTCATAGCAGTACGTCAGCATGGAGAGGGAAGGGGTTCACGAGCCTTCACCCCTAACTGAGGAGCTATGGACAATTGGTGGCTTCTGGGGGAGGGAGAGTCCGTTTTCATTAAGGGTGTGACTCCTCCTCGGTCAGCCACACTCTAGAGCAGAGATTCTCAACTCCTAAGGCTGCAACCCTTATTAAATACAGTTCCTCATGCTGTGCTGATCCCAACCATAAAATTATTTTTGTTGCTACTTCATAACTGTAATATTGCTACTGTTATAAATTGTGCTGGGCTTTGGTGGCTCACGCCTTTAATCCCAGCATTCGGGAGGCAGAGGCAGGTGGATCTCTGTGAGTTTGAGACCAGCTTGGTCTCCAGAGCGAGTGCCAGGATAGGCTCCAAAGCTACACAGAGAAACCCTGTCTCGAAAACAAACAAACAAACAAACAAAACAAAACAAAACAAAACAAAACAAAGTAAGTTGTAATGTAAAATATCTGTGCGTGCTGTAGGCTCCAGATGCCTTCATTGAGTCCTGACTGTAGTAACTGGGGAGATCTGACTCCATTTGACTTATAAATTGGGCAGGGTGAGATGCTTGCTAATACTTTCAGAATGTATTTCCCGTGTGGGTCACTCTTGATAGAACACAGCTTCGTGTGCATGAACACAAGTTCACAAGCCTCCTCACCCCTGGAGGCCTCGGAAGGTGGTGTTTAAATGCTGCCTGCTTTACTATGAGATAATTGGTGTTAAATTCTTTGTGTATTAGGTGTATGGTATTTTTATTGTTCTGTTTTAACAAAAAAGGAATTTGCAAGTCTGGGAAATTAGAATGAGTTGGTCGGAGCATTTCTTGGATTAGGAAAAGCAGTCCTAATGAATTTATTCACCAGGCATTCCAGGCCGCTAATCCCAATAGGTTCGTTCTGGATTAATGCATGGCATACATTTTTCTTTCACTTCAATTCAGCATTAATTGTTTTATATACTATAGCAGAAAAATGTGACTGAGGCAATCCTCTTAAATAGCTATGAAAGACTCCCCTCCTCTACCCCTCCCTCTTTGTTTTCCCTGTCCTGGGGATCAACCCGGGTCTATTTTGCATGCTAGGCAAGTGCCATCTCAAAGATCCACACTCACAGGCCATCGTCACTTTCTTTAAGTCACTGCATTACATTTCTTTTGGATATGACCCCAAACTCCATGTGCAGTAGTTGGTGGGCTCTGAAATCATATCGTGAGGGCTTTTAAATCCTGAAACATGTGGGTGTTTGCATTTTGGCTCCATCTCTGACTCCTGTATTTACTGTTTTACTGCTACATACAGATCCTTCCTAATGTTGGCGTGTTGCAGTACACCATTTAAAAACAAATTGTGAGGCTGGAGAGATGGCTCAGTGGTTTATAAGCACTGGCTGCTCTTTCAGAGGACACAGGGTGACTCACGGACATCCATGACACCTCCCAAGCCTCGGTCTAGTCAGTGTCCACCTGTGGTCTCCTTCAGTTGTGGAGCCCTGCTTACCACAGCAGGGATAAGAGGAATCATTGCTTCTCTGAGAGCCTGGATTTAGAGGCTCTCGTGCCCAAACTGAGCTCTATGACAACCTTTTGTTCTCTGCTTTGCAGGAGCCTGAAGCTACTGCAGACTCTCCTGTGACGTCTAGTCTCCCAGGCTCCGGTCATCCTCAGTGAGAAGGTCCACAAATCTTACTCCAGGTACTATATGGCCCCTGGCACCCTGGAACATGAACATTTTTGCACTAGAATGTATCATTCATTTCAACCCAACCTAACTGGTAACTGTAGCCCTAAGTCATCTTTGTGTGTGGATTTGGACATGGAGCTTAGGACCTTGCCTGTGCTGGAGAGGCACCCCATCTCTGAACCTGGCAGCACCCAGCCCAGTCTTATTTTTTAAATTCCCAACACTTTTTCAGACTTAAGAGTTTTGAGTGGGGGCGGTGGGGATGTGGGGTCAGGGAGTGCAGGGGGGTGGGAAAGGTCTCTCTGGGTTGGCAAGAGAGCCTAGCCTGCCTTGCTTTTCTTTTTAAATAAAAGTAACTCTCCTAAAAAGTATGTTTGGGTTCTGCATAGAAAAAGGGTGCCCCTGAAAATATTCTTTAAAAATCTACTGTTCTAGTCAGGGGTGGTGGTGCACACTCAGGTGGAGGCAAGTGGATCTTTGTGAGTTCGAGGTCAGCCTGGTCTACAGAGTGAGTTCCAGGACAGTCAGGGCTACACAGGGAGATCCTGAACCCCCAATAATTAACTGATTAAAATACAAATAGTTGTGAGAGAAAATCTACTGCTATATTTACTTTCTATTAAATCACAAAGATTCACTGGGTGTGGAGATTTCATTCTTATTCTTGCTGTGTTATCATCTGAAAACATGGAAGGGTAAAGCGTTCAGTGTGGCTAGAGAGCACACGGGGGTAAGGAGGTGTGTGTGTGTGTGTGTGTGTGTGTGTGTGTGTGTGTATACAGTGAACCTCACCCTCACACGTTCTTACAGACATTCATGGCCACTCACAACCTTCATTCTGTCTTTGCCTATATTAAGAATGTTCACATAACCAGGTTCAGCAGACCACCTTAATCAGAAGGCATTTGTGGGAGACACAGCTGGTGACCTGTGTCACATGTTAGCCTTGCAGGGAGGATTAAGGGAGGAGGAAGGGGCCCCGGAGTGTGGATCTGCAGGGGAGATTAGGCTACAAGCAGTACCTGTTGATGAAGCTGCTGTAACCTCATTAATAATGTCTTCCTGTCATTAATTCCGTTATAATAAGGCCTTCCTGTCTTGGCCAGGAATGTTTACACCTCCGTTTGCACAGAGGACTGGGAGCTCACGAAGCTGACTCATCATTCACGGGGGAGGGCTTGTAGTATACACTAGGCACTCAATAAATATTTGTGTTGCAGACAGTTGGGTCTAAACAGCTACTTGCTTTCTTCTCCCCATATAGATATGGTTCGTCTTCTGTAGGTTCTGCAGTCTAGGATGTGATAGCCCAGGGTTGAGACCTTTTTTGGAGACAGGGCTTTATATAGCCCTGGATGGCCTGGAGCTCCATATGTAGACCAGGTCAGCCTCAGATTCAAAGATCCACTCATTTCTGCCTCTCAAGGTGTGTGCCACAATATTCCAGTTACCATAGTGTTTTATTTTATTTTAATTTTTTTGTCAGTGACACATATATAGATACATATACGTGTGTGTGTGTGTGTGTGTGTGTGTGTGTGTGTGTGTGGTATTGTGACCCATTTCCAGGTGCAGGCCTGGGCAGAGTTGCTGGCCAGGCAGGGTGGGGTGAGGCAGCTCAGCTTGGAGATCTCCTGCAGCTTGTTGTCAAGTGTGGCGGCTTGCTCTGACAAACCAGTATGGAAGGGCTGCAAACCAGACAGAAACCTGTACAACTGACCCCACTGTGGGAGTGACAGTGTCACTGTGGGATTCTATGGGTCTCTGGGTTCCAAGGCTGCTTCCGGTCATCCGGGTGGGAGTGTGGGAGAGCTCATCTGGCTGTACTAGGGTCTCTGGGGCCTGTGAGTGCGCTGGCTGGTGGCTCATTGCAAGATTCACAGCCTATGGGGGAATGTAGTGGTACCAGGTATTCTTGAGAACTTTGTTATTTTGTTGGGTTGTACAGGAAAATATGTTCTGGAATCTTGTAGGCATCCTTGAAGTAGGATGTCAGGTGACAGTGGGGGCCTATGATGGGGCTTGCTTAAGACATATGTTGAAATGTCTGGATTCCATTTTTAGGAGTTTTAAAGGGCTGGGAGTGTAACTCAGCAGTGGGTGTGTGTCTAGTACATTCCATCCCTAGTGCCAAACACTCCCCCTACCCCCCCCCCACACACACATGCCTTAAACAATAGTAGACTAGGCCTAGGCTTTCTCAGATGTAGAATCGATTGTCAGAAAGAAGGGAGCGTTTCACCAAGTTGGGTCTAGAACATTGGTATTTGAGGCAGTGGGTCAAGCTCAGGTCCTGGAGTGACGTGTGCTTACCATATTACATGAGAATGATTAAAACAAGCAGTTGACACAGCCATTGACCTATGATAAAATTCATTCTTGGTGGCCGAAACACTCTTCCAGGGGGCAGTTAGTTTCATTCCTTTAGAATTCTTCCAGAATTCTGGGTGCCTGTCTCCACCTCCACCTGGCCTCGGTGCTGGTCTCTGATCGTTCAGATAAGCATTCCTATCTTTGAAGACCTTTGTGTAACTGAACATTTCTTCCTGCTCTCTGAAAGAATCATAGGCAAATCAAACCTTCTCTGTTTGAGGCTATTCTGTTCCTGCCTCCCAGGGTGGCCATCTATTGTATGCACATTACACAGGGGAAAACCTCGTGGGAGGGACAATATGACTGGGAGATTTTTGAAGATTGAAGACAGGCTTGGCCTGAATGAGTATTTCAGATTATAAATACCTTCCTTTTGGAGCGAGTGTCTGAGATTTTGGTCACCAGTGAAGTGTGATTGGAATAAGACAGGAAGACCTACCACAAAATGTGGTATTTCCTGTGTTGGGATTATGTGTGTATGACTTATGCCTAGATAGTACCCATGGCAACCAGGGGCCTGTGCGCTGTACCTGAAGGCTCTTTGAGAAAGCCCGGTCAGGAACAAATGGCAAGTAAGTACAACAGTTTATAACATTTGTTTATGCAAAGGTACGTTCACCAATCCGATTAAGACGTTGTGCAACGAGGTACCAAAGCAGGAGACTGTAACTGAAAGTCCTTGGACTTGGTCCCTCCCCCCACTCTGGTGTTTTCCACAACAGATCTGGATTACTCTTCCTCTAAGTAGAGGTGTGAATCCAGTGTGACGAGGCTAGGCTCCTCTAGGGGTGGTTCTGCCCAGCCCTCCTGCTTCTCCCTCGATTCTGACCTCCAGTGCAGTTTCTCTTGTCTGTTGTCCCACGTGATACCTGCAGCTGCGGGTGTGTTCTGTTTCTCCCCAGTACCGGCTGCAAAGTGAAATTCCCTGTGACCCTCGCAGTCTGTGTGCCGAGAAATGCCCCCACCTCCCTCTCCCTACCTCTAACTCAGCAGCCATGAGCTTCAGAATAACCTATGAATTCTTCCTTTCCCCCCCAAGTCAAATCTTTAGAATTCAGTTCATGTTACCTCCTCCAGCACAGGGTGGAGTGAGAGATGGCTAGCTTTTCTGTCTTAATTCTGAAGCCTGAAGAAATAGCTAAAAGCACTGGTATTTTTGACTCTTGGTTATTTTTATAGAGCCAATAAAAATGGTTCAATATTAATAATTTCATATGTGTAGTCAGACTTTTCCATTGGGAATGTTGGGCTCCCCAAAAATGACATGGAGACTTATTGCAAATTACGAAAGTTTGGCTGATAGCTTAGGTTTGCTTTTAACTAGCTCTTGTAGCTTAAATTAACCCGTACTTATATTAATCTATGTTTTGCCTTGTGGCTTTTTACCCCTCTTCCATCTTGCACCTCCTGTTTCCTCTCGTCTGCCTGGTGACTCTGCCTTCTTCTTCCCAGAGCTCTCTCTGTCCAGAGTCCAGCTCATACCTCCTGCCAATCACAGTGACACATCTTCACACAGTGTAAAGGAATATTCCACAACACATATGGTCCGACCTGATCCTGAACAAAAGACTATTTCATTTAGTACATGGCAGTGGCTAATAGCATTTGAAGCTGTCCAGGCCCTGGGGTATAGAGTAGGGCCTGGTGTAGGAGGCACAAGCACTTCTGGGTCAGTTGTAGGTGAATTTGTTTCTTTTTGCATTTGATTTTGGAAATTTCCAGACCTGCAGAGACAGAGAAAAACATAACAAAATCCCAGGGACCTAATTACCCGCATTTCCTATGTAGACATGAGAAGGGTTGACCTTGCCAGGGACCCTTCTTGTCTTCCTTTTTCCTCCTGATTGTCAATTTCATTAGAGAGATTTTCTCCCTTTAATTCTGAATCATTGCACACTCATTATAGGGGGAAATAGCAAAAATTCAGGAAATAAACGAGGCCTATAATCCTCCAGAGAGGCAATGTCTTCCTGCCCTGGAAATTTTTTATATACTGTTTTTGTTGTTGTCGTTGTTGTTGTTTTTATGCTTTCCCCGACTTTACAGGCATATAATATTTCTAGCATATTTAATCTCGCTTGACTTGTCTGGAGTTCCCTCTACATACCTTTTCCAAGCCCCTGCTGTCTGTATGATATCTAGAATGTCCTTACCACAGCCCTGGGAGGGTCATGCAGCTGAAATTATCCACTTTTACTCCCATCTCCTATACTACAAAGTCAGCAGCAGGAGTGGAGTGAGTAACCCCATAAGAGTCATTCTGTTGTGCTTGGCGTGATCAATTAAAGTTTGCATTCAGGGAGACAGACACTGGTGGCGCACGCCTTTAATCCCAGCACTCGGGAGGCAGAGGCAGGCAGATCTCTGTGAGTTCGAGGCCAGTCTGGTCTACTGAGTGAGTTCCAGGACAGACAGGACTGTTACACAGAGAAACCCTGTCTGGAAAACAAACAAACAAAAAAGTTTGCATTCAGGAACTAGTTAGTTGTCACCAAATGTGTGTCAATCGTTTTGTATCTATAGATTTTGGATGAGAGGACACATGTCCAGCGAGCCAGAAATGAAAAAAGGTCTCACGTGATTGCCTTAGCTGCTTGGGATTCTGAAGTAGGCTCAGGGTCAGTCGGGTACATGGCTG